CTATGTTGCTTTTAGGCTCTGTCTTTGCTTAGAGGACCCCTTTCAAGATTTATTGTAGGGCTGCTTTGTGTTTGTAAATTCCTTTAGTTTTTGTTTGTCCTGGAAGCTTTTTCTCTCTCCTTCTATTTTCAATGACAGCCTAGGTGGATATAGTATTCTTGGCTGCATATTTTTCTCATTTAGTGCTCTGAATGTATCCTGCCAGTCCTTTCTGGCCTGCCAGGTCTCTGTGTATAGGTCTGTTGCCAATCTAATGTTTCTACCATTGTAGGTTACATATCTCTTCTCCCCAGCTGCTTTCAGGATTTTCTCTTTGTCTCTGAGACTCGTAAGTTTTACTATTAGATGTTGGGGTGTTGACCTATTTTTATTGATTTTGAGAGGGGTTCTCTGTGCTTCCTGCATTTTGATGCCTGTTTCCTTCCCCAAAGTAGGGAAGTTCTCTGCTATGGTTTGCTCCATTATACCTTCTGACCCTCTCTCTCTTTCTTCTTCTGGGACCCCAATTATTCTAATGTTGTTTCATCTTATGGTATCACTTATCTCTCAAATTCTGCCCTCGTGATCCAGTAGTTGTTTATCTCTCTTTTTCTCAGCTTCTTTATTTTCCATCATTTGGTGTTCTGTATCACTGATTCTCTCTTCTGCCTCATTTATCCTAGCAGTTCGTGCCCCTGTTTTTGATTGCACCTCATTAATAGCCTTTTTGATTTCTACTTGTTTAGATTTTAGTTCTTTTACTTCTCCAGAAAGGGTTTCTCTAATAACTTCCATGCTTTTTTCAAGCCCAGCTAGTATCTTTAAAGTGATGATTCTGAACTCTCGATCTGACATCGTACTATTGTCCATATTGAGTAGGTCCCTGGCAGTCGGTACTACCTCTTGTTCTTTTTGTTGAGGTGATTTTTTCTGTCTTGTCATTTTGTGCAGAGGAGAATAGATGAATGAGAGAACAAAATGCTAGCAGGTTAACAACGTCCCCAGAATTATACTCTAAACAAATCAGAAAAGACCTGAAACAGTGGTAAAAGAAAGGGAAAGAGAGAAAAAAGAAAAAGAAAAAAAAAAAAAAGAAAAAAAAGGATAAAGATAAAAATAAACAAAACCGGAACAAAACAAAACAAAAGAAAAAACAGAATGTGATCAAATATGATCAGGCTGGTATATAGATCAGTGCCACACAGTAGATTGGGTGTATTTTGGTCTGTTAGAGGAAAGTGCCTCCCAAAATTTTAAAGAAAGAAAAGCTTATATATTTACAAAAATAAGGGTTGATATGATGAAGGGATGGAATATGACTGTAAAGATGGAAATTATAAAAAATTTTATAAAAGGAATTGATAAGAAGTTTTTTGAATAAAGAAAGAAGAGGATTTAAAAAAAAAGGGAGAGAATCTGATCAGGTAGGGGAGTAGAAAAAAACCATACACTAGGAATTTAGGGTATATTTTGATCTGTTAGTAGAAACTATCTCAAAATTTTAAAGAGAGAACAACTGATATATATATGCCAAAAATAAGGGTAACTACTATGAAGGGATAGAATATGACTCTAAAAATGAAAAATAAAAATGTTTTTTAAAAAAGGGATTGATAAGATGTTGGTTGAAAAGGGAAAAAGAAAAATTAAAAAAAAAAAATTAACTTTGAAAGACTAAAGAGTCATGGTAAAAAAGCCATGAATTCTATGTGCAGTATTCCCCTAGCGCTGGAGTTCTGTTGTTCTCATTGATTGGTAAACTTGGTCTTGGCTGGCTGTTCTCGCTGATCTTCTGGGGAGGGGCCTGTTGCCGTGGTTTCCAAATGTCTTTGTTGGAGGCAGAATTGCCCCACCCTTGCCTGGTCTGGGGTAAGTAATCTGCTCAGGTTTGCTCTCAGGAGCTTTTGTTCCCTGCAAGCTTTCCATACAGCTTTGTAGGCAGAGAGTGAAAATGGTGGCCTCCCAATCTCCACCCCGGAGGAGCTGAGAACTCGGGGCCCCGCTTCTCAGTGAACCCCCAGAGAATAGCTGTCAGTCACTCCTGTCTCCCCGGTCTCTGGACACAGTCTGTGCTCCCACGGCTTGTGACCGCGCGTTTCTATCTCTGGCACCCAACCCCGGGTGGAGTCTCCAAACCCAGCAGATCCCTGCAGTGCGCTCCCAGGCCGCTCCTCCCTGGGGTGGAAGTGGAGTCTCCCCGGATCTGCCGCTTGTTGGGTATCTGCTGGAGGAGCAGTGACCCGACTGTGCCCCGGATCTCGGTTTACAGCAACCCAAAGCTGAGGGCCCGCGCCTCTGCTCCGTCTCTGCAGCCGGGTTCCTCGCTCCGATACCTGGGAGCTCTTCCGCACTCAGGCACTCCCGGTCTTTCTGTGACCCCGAGGGTCCTGAGACCACACTGTCCCACGAGGGTTCCACCCCCCACTTTGCCACCAGAGTGATGTCCCTCGGCGGAGCAGACTTTTAAAAGTTCCGATTTTGTGCTCCGTGGTTCTATCACTTGCCAGAAGCGGCCGACGGAGGCCCCTCCCCCGCCGTCTATCCTCCCGAATATCGCCTTGGATTCACTTCTCCGCACGTCCTACCTTCCAGAAAGTGGTCGCTTTTCTGTTCAGTTGCTGCTATTCTTTTCTTTTATCTCCTGTTGAGTTCATAGGTGTTCAGAATGGTTTGATCCCTATCTAGCTGAATTCCTGGGACCAGATGAAATTTAGGTCTCCTACTCCTCCACCATCTTGCTCCTCCTCTAAAACATTAACTTCAAAAGACTAAATAATCATTGGATAAATGCCATGAATTCTCTGTGCTGCATTCCCCTAGCGCTGGGATTTTGCTTTTCTCATTGATCGGGAAACTTGTTCTTGGCTGGATGTTCTTGCTGATCTTCTGGGGAGGGGCCTGTTGCTGTGGTTCTCAAATGTCTTTGCCTGAGGTGGAATTGCCCAGCCCTTGCCAGGGGCCAGGCTAAGTAATCTGCTCGGGTTTGTTCTTGGTAGCTTTTGTTCTCTGAAAGCTTTCCATACAGCTTTGGAGGACGAGAGTGGAAATGGACTCCCACTCTCTGGCCCCAGAGGAGCCGAGAGCTCGCGGCCCCGCTCCTCTATGTGCCCTCAGAGAAAAGCAGTCAATCACTGTCTCCCTGGTCTCTGGTCACACTCCGTGCTCACCCAGCCTGTGACCTAGCATTTCTATTTCTGGCACACTCCGTTTGGAGTCTCCAAACCTGGCAGATTCCTGGGGTGTGCTCTGGTGCCACTCCTCCCAGGGGAGGAAGGGGAGTCTTCCTGGATCTGTCGCTTCTTGGGTCCCTGCTGCAAGAGTAGTAGTGGCCTGACTGGGCCGCGGATCACGGTTTATTGCCACTCCAGCTGAGAGCCCACTCCTTGGCTCCATCTCTGCAGCCGGCTTCCCCGCTCTGATATCTGGGAGCTCTGCTGCACTTGTGCACCCCTGCTCTTTCTGTGACCCCGAGGGTCCTGAGACCACACAGTCCCGGTGTGGGTTCCAACTCCCGCTTAGCCACTGGAGCGACGTCCCTCAGCGGAGCAGACTTCTAAAAGTTCCAGTTTTGTGCTCTGCTGCTCTATCACTTGCTGGTAGCTGGCTGACAGAGGCTCCCCCCACCCCATCAATCTTCCCACATATTGCCTCGGATTCACTTATCCACACGTTCTACCTTACAGAAAGTGATCGCTTTTCTGTTCATCGAATTGCTGCTATTCTTTTCTTCGATCTCCTTTTGAGTTTGTAGGTGTTCTGAATGGTTTGATAACTATCTAGCTGAATTCCTGCGGCCAGACAAAATTTAGGTCTCCTATTCCTCCACTCTCTTGCTCCAGTTAAATTTTTTGTTTAAGAAAATGACTTGGATCTTTGGGGGTACTTATGGAATTAAGTAGAAAAATCCTAGAATGCTGAAAAACTCACATTGGAAGTTACTGTTCTGACCTGAAAATTGGGAAACTGAGCTGAGGGCAAGTCAAGCCTGTCTTGACCAATGATTAGCTGTGTTTTTGCAGTTTTGCACCAAGGAGCTCAATTATGAGCTTCCAATCTCTCACGGTTCCCTAAGCATAGTTACTGTTCACTTTACACAACCTTCTTTTGGGTTTACTTTCCTAGTCTGACCAAACTGCAGAGTTTGTCCCTGGCATTAGCTGCTTCTGTTGAAATCTCAGCACTGTGGTCTTGGGCAGGTGACTTAACCCTTTGTGCAAATATTTCCTCAGTAATCAGAGTTCATAAGTATACCTATATGATAGAGTTGAGAAATCAGTGAATTACTCTGATATATTTAAGGGTTTGGTACTTGGGTTGGCATATATTAGATCCTGAGTTACCGTCACTGTCTTCAGTTATCATCACATTGTCATATTTGTCGTCATTGTCATCATGACTGTTTTTCACACTACTTCCTGTCCTGTCATTCCTCCTAGATGAGCATCCTCTTCTCACTTTTCTTCACATTCTTTATTCCCTCCTGTAAACAATCTGAACCATATTTTAGGTTACAATCTTGTTCATACTTGGCCTCTTCTCCCCACTCTTACCCAATTTGTAGGATATTCTCTTTATTCTGTTTCTTGTAGGTGAGATTTAAAATTTTTGGCCATTAATTCCCCTCCCCCCAAGGTAAATTTGAAGCTGTTTGTAATCATGTTTATTTGGAAGAAATTCAGTTTTTGATAGTAGATGCCACATTTTCAGTTTATTGTTTCTGTTCTATTCTGAAATCTATTAACAAGGGACCTAATTTAAATATCTATTATTTCAAATTCAGTCTTTGCTGCTGTAGCACATGACAAAACATGAGAATGTATGTTTTATATTCTTGTATCTACTGGGTATTCATTTATTTGTTGATTTTATCTGTATATGATAATTAAGGGTTTTTATTAGTAAATATAAAAGAAGAGTTTTCTAAGATATTTAAAAGTTGTTTTATTGAAACAGCTACAAAACTGAGTGGGAAATTTTAAGATATTTTTCTGACTTCATTTTCTGCCAATTTTATTTTATAGGAATCAAGAATCCAGTCTCAGTTGCAAACAGACTCTTGTGTGAAGGGCAGAAGGGCAAGCTCTCGGCTGGCCGAATTCCTCCCTGGTAACTGCATTGTTCTGCCTGACTTTCCCTGGGTCTTTGGTCTTTGGTGCATGTAGTGTTTGAAGGCTATTTTTATCCACAGAAGGCTGATGTTGTTGGTTACACACCAGCAGTAGCTTGCCTTTGAGAGGAAGACACTTTGTTCTATAATCTTGGAACATTTTGTACACTTAATAGAGCTTCAGATGCAATAGAATATTACAGATTAAAGCAGAAAAGAGATCAGAGTTAATTTTTGGTTTTGTAGTTGATTACAGAGATGTTTTTGCTGTTCCTAAATGCACAGTTGGGGTCTTTTATTATGAAACTTTTGAAGTCCAGAGTCCAAACTAATTTTAATTTTGAGATGATCTTAGAATAAAAGTACTTAATTTTTCTCTTCTGGAGAAAAACATTGTGATGTTAAGGTTAGTAAGATTACATTTTTCTCCAGCATTAACATACAATTTTCATTAAAAAAAACTTTGAACTTTTCAAGTATTTGTAAATATAGAGAGAACATTGTAAAGAGCCCTCATGAACCTGTCATCCAGCTCCAGTAACTAACATGTTTTCGCCCTTAATCTATACTCAGTCTCTCTTTTTCCTATAGTATTTTTTAATTAAAAAAATTTTTTTAGAGTTTATTTTATTCATTTATTGATTTTAAGCAATCTCCACACCCAACTTGGGGCTCAAACTCATGACCCGGAGATCAAGATTCCCATGCTCCTCCGACTGAGCCAGCCAGGCACCCCTTTCCTATAGTATTTTTTTTTTTTTTAAAGATTTTATTTATTTATTTGAGAGTGAGAGAATGAGAGAGAGCAAGCACATGAGAGGGGGGAGGGTCAGAGGGAGAAGCAGACTCCCCGCCGAGCAGGGAGCCCGATGCGGGACTCGATCCAGGGACTCCAGGATCATGACCTGAGCCGAAGGCAGTCACTCAACCAACTGAGCCACCCAGGCGCCCTTTCCTATAGTATTTTAAAGGAAATCCTTGACATGATATTTTTTACCCTTAAATAATTTTGTGAATTGCTCTATGTTTACAAAACATAATCATCATTCCATTAGCATGCCTAATAATAATAACAAATATGCTTCAATGCCACTACACTTCAGTTTATGTTCAGCATGCCCAGCTGTGAAGGTTATATTAATGTCCTGTGTTGAAAGTTGTGACAACAGTACTATATCACTTTGACTGTTATAATTTGAAGTCATAGAAAATAAATTAGTATAGTTTTGAAAAGTCTTGAAACCTCTTACCCAAATATACTCAAGTAATCATTTTAATCATATACTTGTCAGGTGTTTAATTGTGATACTAGAGAGGTCAATTTTAAAAATTTTTGAAGAACTACAGTTTTTAGTGTTTGTGTCTTCAATAAGGAAGGATAAGGAGAAGCAAATGGGAAATTTTGAGATTGTTTATAATACGTGTTTTGTTGATTTATAACTCTGAAAGTCGGAAAAGTAGGAAAAGTGATTAAAGAATTTGAAGCTGCCTAGACTGAAATCTTTTTTTTTTTTTTTAAAGATTTTATTTATTTATTTGAGAGAGAGACAGAAGTAGTGACAGATAGCATGAGTGGGGAGGAGAGGGAGAAGGACCCTGGGATCATGACATGAGCCAAATGCAGATGCTTAACCAACTGAGCCACCCAGGTGCCCCTAGACTGAACCCTTTCTAATGGCATCCTTATCCTTCCCATTGTCCCGCACCCTTACCCTGACTCTGTCTCTGCCCCTGCTCCTAGGGGCAGCTGTCTTGATTTTAAGCTTCTCTAATTCCCATATATTCCTTCATAGTATTACAACATAGACAATACTCTAGTTTTTTAATGCTGCGTATAGTATATATGTACATAGATGTACAAAGAAGGCCTGGAAAGAAGGTTATCAAACTCACTGTGGTTAACCTCTGTGAAGAAGGAAGGAGGGAACAAGGTGAAGCAGTTTTCAAAGGGGAACATGTGCAGTATTTTTGTATTTTACAAAGATAAATTATATGGGAAAAAGTGATGGCCATCTCTCCATTAAAATGATATATTGTGATGCTACACTTGTCTGCAACTAGCTGTCTTATTTTCTCATGTACATAGTTCTTCAGCTTTATTCTTTGTTTTCAGAATTGTTTTGACCATTTTAGGCATTTTGCATTTCCATATGAATTTTAGAATTACCCTATTTCTAGAAATACCCTGCTAGAATTTTGATTAGGATTGCATCATATCCATTTATTAAAGTCTCATTTAGCCTCTCTGACCAGTGTTTTATAGTTTTCAGTGTATAGGTCTTACACAGCTTTTATCAAATTTATACCTATTTCATTCTCTCTTCTTTTAAAAAAGATTTTATTTATTTGAGTGAGAGAGACAGAGAGCACATGAGTGGGGGGAGGGGCAGAGGAATAGGGAGAGGGAGAAGCTGACCCCCTGCTGAGCTTGGAGCCTGATGCGGGGTTTGATCTCAGGACCCTGAGATCACAATCTGAACCAAAAACAAGAGTCAACTGCTTAACTGACTGCGCCACCCAGGCGCCCCAAGTATTTCATTCTTTTTGATAGTATGATAAATTATATAATATGTGTTAATTTCCAGTTGTTCCTTGCCAATATAGAAATATTATTATTATTATTATTATTATTACATTGAAATTCTTTCTTGGGAATTTACTAAATTCATTTGTTTTATAGTATCATTTTTATAGATTTGATAAGATTTTCTACAAAGACAGTAATGCGTTCTGAAAATAAAGATTGTTTTATTTCTTCCTCTCTAATCTGGGTTCCTTTAATTAATTTCCTTTTCTTTATTACAGTGGCTAGGACCTTCAATGAAATGTAGAATAGAAATGTGAGAGTGGAAAAAAAAAAAAAAGAAATGTGAGAGTGGGCATTTGTGCCTTGTTTGTGATCTTAGGGGGGAAGCATCTGGTCTTTTACTCTTAAGTATGATGGTTGCTGTAGGTTTATCATAGATATTCTTTATTATACTGAGAAAGTCCCCTTCTTAGTGTTCTGAGAGTTTTTAATAGGAATGAGTGTTGTTCTTTCTCAAATGCTTTTCTGCATCTATTAAGATGGTCTTATAATTTTTCTTATTTAGTCAATTAGTGATTCGTTGATTTTCAACTGTTAAAGCAACAGTTGCATTCCTGGGATAAATTCCACTTCATCATAATGTATTATCTTTTTGATATATATATATATTTTTAAAGATTTTATTTATTTATTTGACAGAGAGAGAGAGAGCGAGAGCAGGAACACAAGCAGGGGGAGTGGGAGAGGGAGAAGCAGGCTCCCTGCCGAGCAGGGAACCCTGATGCGGGACTCGATCCCAGGACTCTGGGATCATGACCTGAGCCGAAGGCAGACGTTTAACGACTGAGCCACCCAGGCGCCCAATCCTTTTGATATATTGTCAGATCCAATTTCCTAAGATTTTGTGAAGGATTTTTGTATGGTCATATATTATGAGATATATTGGTCTGTAGTTTTCTTTTTTTTTATTATTATTATGTTATGTTATTCACTATACATTACATCATTAGTTTTTGATGTAGTGTTCCATGATTCGTTGTTTGCATGTAACACCCAGTGTTCCATGCAGTACGTGCCCTCTTTACTACCCATCACCAGGCTAACCCATCCCCCCTACCCCCCTCCCCTCTAGAACCCTCAGTTTGTTTCTCAGAGTCCATAGTCTCTCATGGATCTTCTTCCCCTCCGATTCCCCCCCCTTCATTCTTCCCTTCCTGCTATCTTCTTCCTTTTTTTTTTTTTTTTTTAACATATAATGTATTATTTGTTTCGGAGTAACAGGCCTGTGATTCAACAGTCTTAGGCAATTCACAGTGCTCACCATAGCACATACCCTCCCCAATGTCTATCACCCAGCCACCCCATCCCTCCCACCCCCCACCACTCCAGCAACCCTCAGTTTGTTTCCTGAGATTAAGAATTCCTCATATCAGTGAGGTAATATGATACATGTCTTTCTTTGATTGACTTATTTCACTCAGCATAATACCCTCCAGTTCCATCCATGTCGTTGCAAATGACAAGATTTCATTCCTTTTGATGGCTGCATAATATTCCATTGTATATATAGACCACATCTTCTTTTTCCACTCATCTGTCGATGGACATCTTGGCTCTTTCCACACTTTGGCTATTGTGGATATTGCTGCTATAAACATCGGGGTGCATGTCCCCCTTGGATCCCTACATTTGTATCTTTGGGGTAAATACCCAGTAGTGCAATTGCTGGATCGTACAGTAGCTTTATTTTCAACTTTTTGAGGAACGTCCATACGGTTTTCCAGAGTGGTTGCCACCAGCTTGATTCCCACCAACAGTGTAGAAGGGTTCCCCTTTCTCTGCATCCCCGCCAACATCTGTTGTTTCCTGACTTGTTGATTTTAGCCATTCTGACTGGTGTGAGTTGATATCTCATTGAGGTTTTGATTTGGATTTCCCTGATGCCGAGCGATACTGAGCACTTGTTCATGTGTCTGTTGGCCATTTGGATGTCTTCTTTGGAAAAATGTCTCTTCATGTCTTCTGCCCATTTCTTGATTGGATCATTTGTTCTTTGGGTGTTGAGTTTAATGAGTTCTTTAGATTTTGGATACTAGTCCTTTATCTGATATGTCATTTGCAAATATCTTCTCCCATTCTGTCGGTTGTCTTTTGGTTTTGTTGACTGTTTCTTCTGCTGTGCAAAAGCTTATTATCTTGATGAAGTCCCAGTAGTTCATTTTTGCCCTTGCTTCCCTTGCCTTTGGCGATGTTTCTAGGAAGAAGTTGCTGCGGCTGAGGTCGAAGAGGTTGCTGCCTGTGTTCTCCTTTAGGATTTTGATGGACTCCTGTCTCACATTGAGGTCTTTCAACCATTTTGAGTCTATTTTTGTGTGTGGTGTAAGGAAATGGTGCAATTTCATTCTTCTGCATGTGGCTGTCCAATTTTCCCAACACCATTTGTGGAAGAGACTGTCTTTTTTCCATTGGACA